TTGATCTGCCAACACATCATAAGAACACCATAATCTCACCCTTCTCTACGTCCCTCCCCTCAGTATTGCTGCTAAAGATGCTCTGGAGAGACATTTCGGAGAACAGAATAAGCCTTCCTCTCAAGAGATCATGCGAATGGCTGAAGAACTGAATCTTGAGAAAGAAGTAGTAAGAGTTTGGTTTTGCAATCGAAGGCAGAGAGAAAAACGGGTGAAAACAAGTCTGAATCAGAGTTTATTTACTATTTCTAAGGAGCATCTTGAATGCAGATAAAATTTATTATTGTGTGATAGCTGATTTTTCTCTAGTTTTCATTCCTTTCTCTTCTCCAACAAAAATAGAAATTAGTTATTTGGTTGTTTTCAAAAATCATTTTATATCAATAACTTTTGCAGAAGCTTTCCTACTTTTTTTAAAAAGAAGACAATTTAAATATTGATGAATTATTTTCTTTAAAAAAAATTATTCTCAGAAACCAAACTGTACATTTTTAAACCAAAGATACCAATAGGAATAAAACAGTGATTCTCTCTCAGTCTTTCTCTCTCTCTCCCTCCTGCTCTATCTACAGACACACACACACACACAGACACACACACGCATGCACAGTGTGCATGTGGGTCTTTTAGTTTAAGATTCCTTTTCCAAAGGCTGTTTATTAGCTTTTTAATATTTCAGTCATAATGCCAAATAAAGAATATCACACTAGAAGGAACAATTAGAAAACTGATTAACCAATGTCCTGCTTACTATCAGCTCTAATAGTTTGTTTGAACTTAATAGTTTTTGTTTGCACTTAAGAGCCAGAGGTACCTTTGAATTTCATTAGTGCATTAAGGAATAAATCTTAATCAGAAGCGACACTTTTTATCTTTTTATTCTTCTCAGAGATTTAGCTTTTTTGATGTTTATTTATAGAAAATATGCCTTATGGATTCTTGACCCCAAACTGCTATCCTATAAGCTGCAACAGTGCAGGAATGATGTCTGGCTTGTTTGCTTTTGTTCCTCCAGCACCTGGGAAAGTGTTTGCTCCTAGCGGGCCTTGCAATCTTTGTTAAATGAACAAAGGAGTGTGCTGTTAAAGACAGCTACAAACTTGAACGGTGCCTAACTTAATAACATAATTTAAGTCTCACAACCCAGAAAATTACCTGGGATCCTATCAAAAAAGACTATCACTTAAGTTTAATTGGTTAGAGTGTGGTTTATTATTGATGAAAAAGTTTGACATATTGAGTATTTAAATTTGGGGAATTATATCCAAGGAACATATTTAATTTATAAGACTGCACTTCTTTGAAACTAGCAAGTAGAAGCAAACAATAAGGTAATAATCTAAGTGACCTTTTTGCATTTAACATATAAATCTGCTGGCAATGTTTATCTAACTTATTTTATATAACAAAAATGGAAACAATTAGACCAAATTTTATTGCTGATTTAGAAGGCTTACTAAATAAATTATACTGTCCAGTCTCATGGTTTTTATGATATTAATAAAGACCAAGCACTATACAGGTCATAATCTCTATAGATCATATGTGTTTATGCACACATAATCACCATTAATTGGCTAGAAACTTTGGTTTTTTACAAAAAGACATATTTTTCAGTGACTTAATCATCTATGCTTAAGCACACATCTAGCACCCAGGAGATGTTGAACAAAATGTGCATACAAAGGCTTTTATTATTCAAGAATAAATTCCAAATTATTCAGCCATATAGATATGTAAATTCCTTCTCTGTATAATTCACCTGCTTACCACACACACTAATTTGGAAGGGATTCTTTAGTTTGCAAAAGGCAGGGATAGGATGTATTTATGTACTTATATGCATTCTATATCCATACACAAAAATGCATATATGCATGTCTGAAAGTTGCAAATAGAAACAAAATGTAATGCAAAATAAATCTAGAATAGTGACTTTTTTGCACTTTAAATATAAATCTGGGAACGTTTAATCTTTCTACAACAAAAATAAGCATGTATGAATGCTTCTATCATCATCACATTTATATGATCATAATCTTATCAGACATTCACCCAGAAGGTTATTCCAGTTTAGATACAACTAGCATTGGGAAGTAATTTTTCTCCCTAAAAGGAATTATTTTGAATCCATATTTAATATTGAAATAGCAAATTTTAGTTATTCACAAGTTAGTTGTAAATGCGCTGGTATTTACTATTCATCTATTTGTACTAATGAGTTTTTTGAGACTATTTATTCTAACTACATTGAAATATTTTAATAGCTATAGATTGATCTTTTTATAAAAAATAGAAAATAGCTATTTAGAATCCTAAACTACAATTAAACAAATAGCAAATGTAATTTCCTATGCAAATTTGGGAATATTATCTGAGAATAAATGGCAAAGCTGACTTTAGCCATAGTCTTTCCATCTTATGTTGTTGTGAACTTTTCGGTGGTAAATCTTCAGAAATTTAGTATAGTCCATTAAAACGAAAAGATCTATTTGTCAATTATACCAATTGGTACATTCAGTTCTATCTGGTAGAGGTGGTTGACACTCATTCATACATTTACCTTTCCATCTCTAATGGTGGAAAGATTGATCTAGTAAAAAAATATTTTCATTGTTCAGGGATGGGAGCAGTGTCTGTGTGCACCTGCACTCAAGGTCTGGGAGGATTTTGCGGCGGGGGGGGGGGGGGGGCAGAGTAAGGGGAGTATCCATTGTGTGGTGTTCCAACAATTAGTGCCTTAAATCAAACTTCACAATCCCCAGGCTTCCTCTAAGGTGAATTCAATCCAATTGAGTTTTAAAGGAACGGAGTGTAGAAGAATGGTCTTAAGTCCCTTGATGGGACTCAATTTCTATAGAGAGGAAATTGGAAAGTTGATCTGTTTTTCTGCTGCTCCAAAAACCTATTCTTGCAGAATAATGGCATCAAAGGAGACAGGTCATCATAGGTCTCTGGACATACACACCCTGTTTTAACAAGGGAGTATCTAAAATAGGAGCGCATATTTAAATTAGGCCCCCAGGGATCAGGCTGAAACTGTGGCTACTGAGCTAGTAAGGAATGTACTTGTGGCTAAGGGGAGAGTGCAGTTTTCTTCTAAAGGCACTCAAATGCCTAATAAAATATGTATCACTGTGCAGGTTGAATGAAATAAAGCCCAAGGCTGCCAGATTCCATCTGGTCTTACAGGGTCACAATCTTGAGCCCCCTTCCAGTGGGCCTGCCATAGCCAGGTAGGTACTCAGAGCACAGAATTTAGTCTATATAACACAATCATCTGACAGATGGTCATTTTATGTTTTCTAAGACTAGCTGTTATCATCAGTACTGATATTTTCATACCACATTCTACTTCCTGATACCCTGAAATCTCCTCCTCCCATGACTTTTACATCCAGTCATAGAAGGTGACATTGCGCTGCATCCTTCTTGGTAACAGAGGTATTGCTATACTCTTCACTCTCTATTGGCAACCTCTTTTTTGACTACAGTTGTTAAAGTAATCCTTTTGCCAAAAAATAGAGAGAGCAAGGCAAAAAAAGTCAGTAGTTGACCATTGAACAACATGGGTTTAAACTTTGCAGGTCCACTGATACGTAGATTTTTTTCAATAAATACAGCCCAGTACCATAAATGTATTTTCTCTTATGATTTTCTTAATTTTCCTTTCTCTATCTTACTTTATTGTATAATACAATATATAATACAGATAACATACAAAATATGGGTTAATTGACTCTATGCTATTGGTAAGGCTTCTGGTCAACAGTAGGCTATGAGTAGGTAAGTTTTTGGGAAGTCAAAAGTTATATGTGCATTTTTGACTGCATGGGGTCAGTGCCCCTAGCACCCACATTGTTGAAGGGTCAACTGTATTTTCATTGAACTCAATGTATAAGAATCCTTGTTTCCTAATCTTAAGGATTGAAAATAAGTTTTATTTTTAGTAGAGGATAGTGTAACAGTATAAATTTAGAATGATTATGAAAATTGCCACAGGAGTATTTTATAAATATAGCCTAATCAGAATGGCTCCACTCTCTCCTTTGGTTCCCAAAGCCTTCTGTAGTATCCACGTTTGACCGAAAATAAAGGAAATCACTAAGACTTAAATGTTTAAAAATACTATTTAAAAATGTTTATCCCCTGGAAATTCTAGAAAAGGAATCATCAGATCGATTTCATGTGAAACCATCCATTCTTAGGCTTACTCCATTCACAAACATCAGTCCTGTATCAACTGCTAATTCTTAGAAGGCATTTGTTAAAACTTAAGGAGCAGAGTTACCTAATTTTCTTTCTAGGAAAATGATGAAAATCATTCTTTTGAAAAATTACCAGATATGCATAAAAATGTTAACTTTAGCAGAAGCCAAAAATAGAGTAAAAGATAAGGAAAGAAAGCATAACAGCAATAAATCTTTATTGGAATTTTTTTAACAAAATAATTTTTAAAAACAAAAGCCCCCGCATGTAAACAAGAAAGTAAATAAAGTTAGTTGGCATCATTATATACATCCAAAAATCAAAACCAGTTCTGGGTTAACATTCCATAATCTAGTAAAATGTTTTGACCCATGAATGGTCAGGGAAACTATTTAATACTATCAATAATGCAACCTGATCTTTGAACATCATACAATGATTTATGAATTATAAGCGATATAGTTGGAACTTTTCATTCTTCCCACCAATCGATATGCCACATGTAGACTAGTCCTAAAATGGATTTACATTGTCAATATTAGACCAAATGTCCATCCTCCTAAATTGACCAGATTACACCTATCTGATCTCCTCCACAGTTTTTTATGGTGGGATATACTAGAACCCATATATTACAACATAACTTTTTTAAACTAACCTAATCCTAAATTCTACCTCTAACTAATCTGTCATTTCATTTTTTCTCACTTCCTATACATAAATACCATAGCAACTTCACCTTAAAAAATACTGCTAATACATTAATACACATTTAGGCAGTAATTTCTGACAAAGTTGTAGTTTATTTACCAAGAAAACAATGCTATTTTTTATTTTAAAATTTAGGTCAAGTATCGTCAGAGTGTTAAATTAAGAAGGATGGCTTCCATTTAGAGGGTTCAATATACACATTAATGAAGATCAAAATCAAACAGATTAAATTATGTCCCATATGGGGAAAATTTTCTCAGTTCTTGGAAAAAAGACCAAAATAGTTTTATTACTATAAAATGTTATTAATTCAGTGTCCGTTTTTGCTAATTACATTCAATTCACTTTTATAAGCTTTACAAAAGAGAGCCGGGATAATTTTTCTAAGAGGCCTTAATTTTGGTTTAAAATGTAAGTCTTTTCTGTCAGTTAAAATAATTTAAAGATGTGCACAATATGTTTGTGCTGTTTAAGGCAGGTGCCAAGCACATTTTGAAAGGTAATAAACTTACCAACTACAATGTTCTCCCAAAGGAAAAGAAAGAAAAGAAAAGCTCATGACAGTTTTTAAGACAGATGTTTAAATAGCACTCTTCTTTTGGATCATTTAAAAATAATTTGGCAGCTGAACCGCCTATGGTCATACCACATATCGCTAAAAAAGGACAAGCAACAGATACAGAATTAATGATACCCACTTTTAGTATTTTTACAAGTCTCTTTAGTTGGTGCCTAGCGGCATTTAACAAAATTTTTGTATTCAGTGTAAAAAGGTAGAACATAAATACTAAGTAATGAATATAATTTCTCTATGTCATGCAGGAAAGAAGTCAAACGTTTTACATATCATCACTCCTAAATAGTTCTAATTAAAATCCAAACTGTTCCCATTTTTGCATCCTTGTCATTCTTTGGTAAAAGATTCAAAATAGTCATGGGTTAGGAAACAACTGTTTGCTCATGGTCTTCATTTTTGTAAAAGGAATCTGCACTGTGCCTGGTTTATAGTAAATAATTATAAGTAAGCAAAATATTATGGTTTTTCTGACTAATCTACTCCTAAAGCCTTGAGTTGCCGTTCAATCTCTTCATCGGAGATTGTAGCCTTTGAAGTAGAGGCAGATGGTAAGCTTCGGGCAGCTGATGGAGCTTTGGCCATCTATATAAAAAGAAAAGGAAAAAAAAAATGCATTATCAAACATTTGGGCAAGGACACAAAGGATATGCTGCAAAGACGTTTACCATTCAAATATAAAAAGATGTCTCTAAGGGCAAAGGCTAACTTAAAGTGACAAAAGCGGTAGAAACGATTCCAACAGAGGATAGAAGACATTCATACCTTTCCAGAGATTTCAATTCCGATTTCATCAAGAACTTGATTCACAATATCTTGGCTTTCTTCTTCATCATCAGAGCCATCAAAGATATCATCAAGTGTGTCATTGACTTGGGGGGAAGGGGAGAAACAAAATTACAGTTACTATCAAACAGATTTCAAGTTAGATTTACATTTTTAGAAGGTGAACCAACTATGTGTACATATTTGTAATATTACTCAAGGGCAAACTTAGTTGAACCAACAAACTACAAAAGTCATTTTCAAATGTTAGTGAAGTTCATTTATACATTTTTGGGTTACTAAATCTGGAGTACTTTTCATTGCAACACAAATAATATAAATAATAATTACATAACAAGTCTACTATGATTTTTAAAAATGTGTCTTTAATAAACAACAAAAGAAATTCACAGCTAAAGGCTTAAAGTTTTGAAATATGATTCTACAAACTGTATTCACTGAGCTAGTTAGTAGCTGTTAAATCTGACCATGGAATAATATGTAAGAATCAAATATCCTGTAAATATTAGACGATTTACTCTTTTTATATCTATAATTATATTTTCAACTTAAAGTCTAAGGTTCAGTGTTTTATTAAACTTGTCTACAGAATAACATCCAATTTAACCTTGCAAAGATTATTACTGCTATATCCCTCTCTTCCTTCCTGTCCCTTCCCAAAGTATTTATGGAAAAGTTTCTGTATAGAAGGTATCACATTACGATTATGTATTGTTTATTTCTGAAACAAAGTGCCTAGCATGTAGTACAAGTACAATTAATGGAGAGAGAAAAATGAAGACCTCAGGTAGTTTACATTTAAGTAGAAAAGAAATTAACAATTAGATTGTAGTAAATAAGAAAGATAATAAAGGGAAGAGATTACATCCAACTGGGAGGAAGTACATGTGAGGTGGTCCTTAAAGGATGCATAGGATTTGACCAAACAGAAACAGAGGAAATAGAATGAGCAAAGACTTGGTGGAAGACAAAAGGAATACACTCAAGGTAGAGTAAGTTCTTCTGTTGTGTTATTATTTAAGGTGCATGAATGGAAAAGGTGTATCTATTATTCTGGGTCAAAGAGCTTATGTCTGATATGGGAAAAAAGACTTGTGGAATCATTTGGGACATCCCAGCCCTCTCCCTGTTTCACATGTACATCTTAATTGCTTGTGTCCTTGATGTAATTAATAAAGCTTGGTACTGGTTAAGATCTCTGGTTGGTATGAGCATGATTTGACAATTTGAAATAGATGAGAAAGAATAGAGAGGTGTAATCGGGATTAACAAAGAAGGATGCTTTCAGAAAAAGTGTAACAAAATTAACCATATTTTATATATATATGTATATATATATAATTTATATATATATTTACATACATATGTGTGTATATAAAATGTGTGTGTGTGTGTGTGTATAAAATACAGATTTCTCAAAGATCCTGTTTCCAAAATCAAACTTGTTCGTTCTGGAGCAGCACTGCACAATATAAATTTCAATTGGAAAAAGATTATATTCATTTAAACCTTGAATTTACCTTTGGATGAAAATACTAATGTTAATGTACTTTACTAGGTCATAGAAGAAATGAGTAATCACCAACAATTACTATTCTTTCAGACCCATTTGCAAAGTAGTAAAATACAAATGAGAACTATGATAGATATGAGTTGGATGAGCCTATTGATTCTCTTCATTATAGCTTAATGGAAAAGTTAATTCCTCTAAGATCTGCTCACACCTGTGCCATCACTGGAAATCACATAAACATGTTAGATACTGTGATCATTATATAAATGACAATTCTCACAGTCATTAAAAATTCACTAATGATGTTTTAAAAAAGTCATATTTTTCAAAGTAAAGATTCACAAAGCTAAAGAATTTTTCAACTATCAAAGATACACATACAATTTCATTAACTCCTAAAAGGAAAATAGAAAATAGATATTCTGAAATTGAATACTTGGACTGGTGAGTTTCGTATTCCTGATAATTTAATTAGATACTACCTTATACACTAAATGCCATTAAATTAAAATGCTGGCAGCTAAGCAGAACTAAACTGGCATATCTCTACATAGTTGTAAAACAATTAGAGAATACCTTTGCGAAATAATGATGTCAGTTTTTACATACCAGGTTAAGTAATGTTGACCAGGATGCTGTAAAGTGTCACTTATTTATTAGCAACCAAATAAAGATTGGAATAGTCTTTCTGGGAGGAATTTGGTATGAACCAAAAGCCTTATAAAAGTTAATACTCTAAGGAGATTTTAAAAATTTAGTCAAAAATAGTATAGAAACATTTATCAAAGGATTAGCAAATACACAACAAATTTTAAAACAATCTTACTGACCAATGTAAGAATGGTTCAATAAATTAAGATTGATGTTATTGAATATTGATGTTATGCAATATTAACGCTATTAAAAAAAAGACTTCAGAGAAGATTTAAGGTCATGAGTACATGTGTATATCACACTATTATGTTTTCTAAAAGCAGGATAAGGTTCAAAATTGCACATGTAATATGATTTAACTACTATAAGATATGGGAAAATATAGGAAAGAAGCATATAACATTATCAGTAACTATATCTGGGTGATGTGATAACAGATTTTTTAAATAAATTTTGTTTCTTTGTGTTCTCTGTATTTCCTCTACAAAATGCAATTAGTTTATAGTCAAAAAGAAGAAAACTAAATTTTAAATAACTTAGGGAAGAAGAAGGAAAAAATAAGAACAAAAGAGCTCCCCATTATCTCTACCTCTAATAAAAAGAGAGATCTTCTCTAGTATGAAAAGAATCAACACAACTCTGAAGCTACCAAATTCATACTAGGAAGAGTTCTTTTATTCAAAAGTTGGTTTTGGTCCCCTCATCAATGAAGTAAGACCACTGGAGCCAATATGACATAAAAATATGGCATAGCATATTTTATATTTTTCCTTCCAGTGAAGTTTGATAGGCTTTGAGCCTTATACTTTGCCAATTTAACAATACACTAGAGTTATAATACAGACATCTATTCAGAAGTGTGCTGTACCATTGCTTTTTTCAACATTTGTGCTTTTATGGATTAGAATATGAGGTTGCTAGTAAATAAACTTGGCTGATTCAAAGATAAAAAAATGTAAATTTCATTACAAGTTATTAAACTTACTCATTTCTTCAGTCATTTCCATTTTCATGTTTTCCTTCTGGAAATTCTGCATTGTTTGTAATGTCTTTTGTGGATCCATCTTCTTGTTAACTGCTTGCATTGTCTTTAAATATATGAAAAGATTCATGTTGGCTACATTAATGTGACATTTTTACTATGAAATAAGTCCAAAGAGAACATATCAAATTAGATACAGACTTTCTAAAGATATACATACTGTCATAATCTAACATAAGACTGTTAAGTAGTCTAGAAAAAAATGAAATACTCACTTGGAAACCATCTGCTTAACATTTATATAATAAAGACCAGGGTGAAAAAACTCATATGAACAGTAGGCAAAAAAAAAAAAATATATATATATATAAAAAACTTTGTCAGCAAAAAATCCATTTCTATTCAAATGGGAAAACTACATTTGCCTACTGTGTGGCAAGCAGGTAATGTCTAAATTGAAAAGAATTACAGTTTAAATTTTATAAAATTTTTCATTAAGCTTTTGATGTCTAAATTAAAAAGGAAGATACACAGCATACACACTTAATCCATTCACATATTTTAAACCACGGTTTAAAGAAATGAACAGAACACCGAGTTTTGTAAAAATATGTGAAAAGAACTCTTACATTTTATATTCACAAGTTATTTCATTAAAAGAGATTAATGCTATCTAGCGTGGCCAAAATATTTTATACATATTATATATAAAATTTATGTATTATATACAGTAGTTCAGACACTATACAATATAAAACACATCAGTTTCAAAGATACCAAGCAGTCTTTTAGCAATCTGTACACAATGCTACAGCCAAAGTAACCTTTAAGTATAACACTGAATTTCCCCCATCCCCCTCCAGCCCACACATACCTCTGAAGTGGCTTTCCCTTGTTCTTAGTATTAAAAGCCAAAATCCATAATTCACTATGAGACCAAACACTACTGAACTCTGCCTAACAAGCTAGTCTTATGGTGTACCATTGCCCTCCAGCCACACTGATCTTTCACTTCCTTAAATGTGCCATACTTTCTCTTGCCACAGAACCTTTGGATATGCTGTCTCACACCTGGAATGCTCCTCTCCATTTGTTTTCAGTATCAACACTTCAGATTTCAACACTTTCCTAGGGAAGTCATCCCTGACACCCCTGATTAGAATAAATATTGTTAAATCCTACTCACTACAGATGAAATTCCCTATTTATTGATGTAAATTATATTACTTCACTTGTAACTTACAGTATTGTAGCAACTAATACTAATAACAATGGTGATAATAATAATAAAGCAGTAAAAGCCTATTATATAGTCTTAACTATGTGCCAGACACTGTTCTAAGCACTTTACATATAATAACAGTTAGAGTTAAAAGACATTTATTTAAACCTGACAAATCTTACATGCTAGGTGCCACCATTTTCCCTGTATTAAAAATGGAGAATGAAGGCACAGAAGGGCAAAATAACTTGCTGAAAGTCACAAAGCTAATGAACAGAAGTGAGATTTAAACTCAAGTAATCTGGTCCAGAATATATGTTCCTAATCACCGCACTAAACTCTCTCAAATGGGCTGTTTTTATAGAATGTATGGGGACACCTGGGTGGTTCAGTTGGTTAAGCGTCCAACTCTTGCTTTCAAGTCAGGTCATGGTCTCATCAGGGTCCAGGGATTGAGCCCTGAGTTGGGCTCCAGGCTCAGCATGGGGTCTCTTTGTCCTCGCCCCTCTGCTCCTCTTCCCACTCTCTATCTCAAATTAATAAATAAAATCTGAAATAGACCATACAGTTTAAACCCCTGCCTGGTTTTGCTTTCCACTTCATCCCCATCATTTGTTATACTTCTTACCTATAGGGTCTAAACAAATATTTGCTGAATTAATACATTTCTAAAAAGATTAAGTAAAAATTCCAGTTCAAATATCTCCATATGGCAGGACCATATTCGGTACTTTTTCCTAGCCTACCATCTGCAAAAAAAAAAAAAAGTGCAAAATAAGTGGTTTTCCCCTTAACATTATTGAAAGGTTACCTATCTCAAGTGTGTGATCATCACATATTATCTTTTCCTAAATTAGATGTTTAGTTCTGTCCGTTTATGAAAGAAAAAAGAAAAACAAAAGTTTTTGCCCTTAACGGTGTTATTTTTCACTGTAAAAGGACAAAGATCCATCAAGAATAAGTTACCTGACAGAACAAAACTAATATTGAAACTTCCTCAATTTTTTTAAACTTCCTCTATTTTTTTAAAGAACATATTGTGTCACTGCACTTACTGCAGCTAAGATGGATAAATTCTATTTTCATGTGCTCTGTAATCTAAAACACAATTATAGTTGCTCCTCATTATTTCTGGATTCCATATTTGTGAATCTGCCTACTCACTAAAATGTATTTGTAACCTCAAATCAATACTCATGGAGCTTTTGTGTTCCTCTGTGGACACAAGAGAACAGCAAAAAAATATGAGTTGCTCAACACGCTTGTTTCCAGCTGAGGTCAAACAAGGTGACACTCTGCCTTCTTGTCTCAACTCTCATACCATAAACAAGTGTCCTTATTTGTGGTCTACTTAGTGCCACATTTTTGTACATTTTGTTGGTGATTTTGCCATTATTTAAATGGCCCCAACCAAAGTACTAAGTGCACAAAACTATGTGTTCATGGAGAAAATACATGGTAGATTTGATTAGGCATGACTTCAATGTTAATGAATCAACATTTATTAACTATGGTGTCTTTCAACAGAAACACATAAAACATTAGGTATAAGCTGGTTGACAAAAACGTTGTGACCAAAGCTCACAGGAACCTAACCCTGTATTTCCCATAGGAGAAATGGTTCGATATTCACTGAGTGTTCCCAACTTAACAGAACATTAACTACTTCAAATAATGAGAATCAACTGTATATACCATTTTTTAAATATGAACCTCCTACTTTCCTCTGTGGCTTTCTTTTATTTTGGTCTTCATATTCATATTCCTCCTTCCTTATATTTAACATCTAATGGTATTTTTAAGACCTAGGTTTTCTGCAAAGTCTTTCAGATCATTCAAAGATCTGTGCAGTTCACTGAAACTTAGCACAAACTGATGTATGTAGTCGGTAGTTTCCCTGTCAGATATACCTTAACCTCCCTGCTCTCTACCCCCACCCCATCCCCAACTGAATTATAAAATCTGTGAGAGCAGGTCCTTTGTCTGAGATGTCTTCTTACTCCTTACAGTACTTCACATACATCAAGGGACTCATTATTTATTAAAAAATCAAAAAGCTCAGGGGCGCCTGGGTGGCTCAGTCGGTTAAGTGTCAACTCTTGATTTCAACTCAGGTCATGATCTCAGGGTCATGAGGTCGAGCCCCACTTTGGGCTCCATGCTAAGTGTGGAGCCTGCTTAAGATTATCTCTCTCCCTCTCCCCTCCACACCACCCCCAAGCGCACTCTCTCTAAAAAAAGCTCACAGTCCATGGGCGCCTGGGTGGCTCAGTTGGTTAAGCGACTGCCTTCGGCTCAGGTCATGATCCTGGAGTCCCTGGATCGAGTCCCGCATCGGGCTCCCTGCTCAGCGGGGAGTGTGCTTCTCCCTCTGACCCCCCCCATGTGCTTTCTCTCTCTCTCAAATAAATAAATAAAATCTTTAAAAAAAAAAAAAAGCTCACAGTCCTATAAACTCTATAGTAAAAATATTTTTTTATATAAAGACCGTAAGTTAAACGTAAGTTCCTGGTAAAATTAACTGATAAATCCTTCTGACAGAAATCATGTGTCCTTCTGACACATACATGAAAATGAATCAGAGCAAATTATTACTCAGAAGTAATTAAAACTTATAGCTTAATGAAATAAGACCAAAAATCTTCTGACAATTTAAAGGAAATAAGCAAACAACACTTTTAAGTCAATTTAAAAAATTTAGAAGCTACACATGACCTTGGAAAAAAATCAAAATGTCTGAAACAAGAAATTTTATAGTAAATCAATAAAGAATCTATGTACATCCAAAACTGTTATAATATTGTAAGGTAACTATACTTCAATTAAAAAATCTAGAAGTAGTTTCTGGATAATCTAGTACTATTATATATTAATATATAATTATTACACAGATTCTGTACCAAATATACATCAGGAGATACTTTTAAATCTGATTTGAATACTGACACTTATATGTCTTAGATAAAACAATAAATGTATGGATATAAAGGTTCCCACTTACTTTTGCTGTAGTAGACATTGCTCCTGCCATCTTCATCTGGGAATTCATCACTTTTGTTTGTGTCGACATAGAAGTGACTTTTGAACTTACAGCAAAAGTTCTTGTTTTCTGTTTCCGTAGATGTACAAGCTGTTTGGCTAAAACTCTGCAAGCTTCTTTATTACCAATCTTAGCCATTTTCTTAATTTCTAATTCCTAAGAAAGGAAATAAAAAGAGGGGAGTAAAATCACTGAGAGGTAGTCCCTAATGATTTACTTCAGGAAAAAAAAAAAAAAATCAAACACACATCATATACCCTTTTCTCCCTGATCATAAAGAGAGGAAGACAGAGTCATAGTCACAGAAAAGAAGAGTTAATTTGAGAGAGCAATTTATTCCACAGGTTTACACGGGAAAGACAGAATTCATACCTTCATCCACAAATACAAAGCAAGTCTATAAAACAGTATTTACAAAGAGCCCAAAAGAAAATGAAAAAGCTCAACCTAAAAGTCAGTAGGAAAAAGGAAAAAAAAAAAAAGACAAAGAGTTGGTGGGACAGAGCAAAAAGAACACATTGGTAGATTTAAAGCGAATAATACAGACAATTACATTAAGTGAGAAGATTCACCTAACACCTCAGTAAAAGACATAAACACTACTATATGCTATGTCAAGAAACAAACTTTAATTACAAAAACAAAGCAAGTAAAATGATAGAAAACGTATTCCATATAATTACTTACTAAAATCTGAAAATCTGGAGTGTGTACATTAACATCAGATAAAATAAACAAACAAACAAAAAAACTTGAGAACAAGTAATACTACCAGAAATAAAAAGGGGCATTTCATAATGACAAAGGAATCAATATATAAAGATGTTAGAACAATCCTATACATGCATGCACCTAAGAACAGTGCTTCAAAATACGTGAAGCACAACTGACAGAACTGAAAGGAGAAACAAATACACAATCAGCAGGAGGGGTATCAACCACTCCTCTCGAGTACACTGCTATAACAGAAGTAGACAATCTGCAATGATACAGATTTATAAAAAATACTATCAACTTGACCTAACATTTATAAAAATGCCATCACCAACAGAATGCTTGTTTTTTATAGATATACACTAAAAAAGAAAATCGTATTTTCAAATATATCATATTTTCCTCAGAAAACAAGACTCAATAAATTGAAGAGGACTGAAATCACACAAAGTATGTTCTCTAATAGCAATGAAATTAAACTAGAAATCAGTAAGGAAAAGGAAGGTATATCATAAAAATGCACAAATTAAACATGGTTCTAAATAAGTCATGGGTTGGAAAAATTTCAGGAGAAGTAATATTTTGAACTTAATAAAATGAAAATGCAACATATCAAAATGTGTGGGCTACAGTTAAAACAGTACTTAGAGGGAAATTTATAGCATTAAAACTTATATTAGAAAAAAATAAATATTTCACAAGCTTCAAAACTGAGAAAGTAGAAGAAAGAGTAAGTAAAACAGTAAATAGAAGGAAAAAATAATATAAACAATAAAAGAAATCTATATAGTAGGAAAGAAAAAATATTGAAAATTAATGAAATCCAAAGTCTTTTTTCATAAGAGGTGGATCAAATTGACAGGCCATTAGCCAGATAGATGACGGGAAAAAAAAAAAAAAAGACACAAAGAGAACACACAAATTACAAAGATTAGGAATGCAAAGGAGGGATCACTTCATATTCTAAAGATGTTAAAGGATAATATGGGAATATTATGAATAATAGGTCATTACATTTTTTTATAAGTGTTCTTTTCCTTTTTTTTTTTTATTTTATTATGTTAGTCACCATACATTACATCATTAGTTTTTGATGTAGTGATCCATGATCCATTGTTTTCGTATAACACCCAGTGCTCCATGCAGTACGTGCCCTCCTTAATACCCATCACCGGGCTAACCCATCCCCCCCCCCGAACCCTCAGTTTGTTTCTCGAGGTCCACAGTCTCTCATGGTTCATCTCTCCCTCCGATTCCCCCCCTTCATTTTTCCCTTCCTTCTCCTAGTGTCCTCCTGCTATTCCTTATGTTCCACAAATAAGTGAAACCATATGATAATTGTCTTTCTCTGCTTGACTTATTTCACTTAGCATGATCTCCTACAGTTCCATCCATGTTGATGGAAAAGTTGGGTATTCATCCTTTCTGATGGCTGAGTAATATTCCATTGTATATATGGACCACATCTTCTTTATCCATTCGTCTGTTCAAGGGCATCTCGGCTCTTTCCACAGTTTGGTTATTGCTGTCATTACATTTGAAAATTTAGTAGACACGGACAAATCACTTGACAGATGTTAACTACCAAGGCTCATTTAAAAAGACATATCCTGATCCATTCTGTATCTGTTTTTTTTTTTTCTAAAAATTGAACTTGTACTTTAAAAACCTATCCACAAAGAAAAGTTCCCTCTCAATGGCTTTACTGATGAATCCTATCAAACATTTAAGGAAGAAATACACAAACTCTTCCAGTGAAGGAAGAGTAAGAGAAACCAAATCATTCTTTAAAGTCAGCATCACTCGGATGTCAAAACCATATAGACACTGGACAAAAAGATAACTACAAATCACTATCTTTCACAAACACGAATGCAAATATTCTTAACAGAATTTCAGCATACTGAAAAAAATATTTCAAAAAAGCCACATCATTACCAATGGAGCTTATCCCAGGAGCAAAAGCTTGATTCAACTTTAGTAAATCATTAAATGTAATTCACTACATTAACAGACTAAAGAAGAAAAACTACATGATCATCATCTCAACAGATGCAAAAGTGAACCTCTACCCTCACCTGATAACAATAAAATTTAATTCAATATGGTTCAGAGTCCTAAATGTAAGAACTAAAACTAAGATTCTTTTTTGCACTTGATTAAAATAAAAAACTTTCTGTTCCACAAAGGACACTATTAGGAAAATAAAAGATAAGACCAATAACTGGAGAAAATATTTTCAAAACATATATTTAATAATATACTTGTATTTGAAATATATAAAAAACAGAAATAAATAAAAGAAAACATTGATAAAAATGGGCAAAAAGACATGTAAATGGCAAACAGACACATGAAAAGATGCTGAACATCATTGGCAATTAGCAAAATATAATTTAAAATGACAATCCACACCACCAGAATGACTAAAAGTAAAAAGACTGTCAACTCCAACTATTGGACAGGATGTAGAACAACTTTACTTTCATATACAGCTGGTGGAACAGAAAACATTATAGCCAAGTTGCAAAACTGTCCAGCAGTTTCTTACACAGTTAAACATACATTTACCCTATGATCCAACAATCCCACTCCTAGGAATATACTCAAGAGAAACAAAACATGTTCACACAAAGACTTCAATTGCATCTTTATAGCAACTTTATTCAAAATAGCCCAAACCTGGAAATAACCTAAATATCCACTAGCTGGTGAACAGATAAATAAACTGTGAAACATCCATACAATGAAGTAAATTAAAAAAATTAATACTGATTATATAACACTGATTAATCTCAAAATAATTATGAGTGAAGGAAGCCATATTTTAAAAAAAAGTTCATATTATATGATTTATATAAAGTCTTGAAAATGTAAAATAATCTACAGTGACAGATCAGTGTTTGCTGGGGAGGAGGGAGTCAGGGAACAGCAGGTGAAAGACATTACACAGGGAATAGGAAACTTTTCAGGATGATGGATATGTCCATTACCTTGATGGAAGTAAGATTTCATGCATTTATCCATATGCCAAAATATATCAAATTGTATGCTTTAAATATGTAGTTTATTGCATGTTAGTAATACCTCAATCATGCTGTTCGTTTAAAAGATTTTAAGCAACATACATTTAAAAACATAACAAAAATATTTAAAGATGGGAAAGATAATCTATTTTTTAAAAAGTACATTATCACAGATACAATGATCACTAAAATATCAAGTAAGATACCAATGAGTTAACATAATTATTTCTTGTAACCCTTTCTTATTATTCAGGACTATTTTATTTTTGCTGTTAACTGAGAATGAAGTAGCTGTGTTTTGAGTAATATTTCCTCCTAGGCATTCATGACTTCTACAAACTGAAGAATAATCTGATTTTATAATCAGCAGAATACACAGAATCCTGATAAAAGTCAGCAGAATGACACAATAAACAAAGGTAAGCAGAAAATGCAGGAAGACATTAAATGCCATTTCTTAGTAAATCACTTACCACCTGCCATGTGTTTTTTTCTTAGCTGGCTAATTATTCCAACACTAATTTCCAAATTTGTTTGAAAAGTTAAACTGAAATTTAATGTTCTACTTACCAGCTGTTTTTCTTGTTTCTCTAAAGCGGCTCGGTCTCTGATTATAGCTCTCTGTGTACCTCGTAATTCTCGATTCTGTTCCTTTATTACATCTAAGAGAACCACAAAAGAAACCTAAATGTATGAATTCCAAAATTTTTTTCAATACCATTTGAAATATTAGACTTGGAGACCTTAATAAAAAAAAAAAGAAACCTTGATTTACTAGATGTTAAAATTTTTTCATTCAATATACTAAAAAATTAGTCAAATATTAATACTTGGATTATAAATATTAATTAAAGAATTACAAAAGTGCAGATAGGCTATAGGTGGAGGTTTAACTAAAAGTATATATAAATCACCATAAAATATTCCCTTAGAGAACTGATAGTATGCAATGTTTTATGTGGCACATATACATGTCTCTCTCTCTCTCTCTCTCTCTCTCTCTCTCTCTCTCACACACACACACACACACTTTTCATCTCTTCTTACTCCAGTATTATATGAAATTCCAGGAAGGAAGACAGATCATGTGTTTATTAAATCCTTTTTTCTACACTAAGTCATTATAACAGAGTGAAGCAGCAGACCTTCCAATGAGGCAGACCTGGATTTGAATCCTCCCTCTGCTACTGGATCATTATTTAATGATATCTTGGCAAAATTAGTTAATATTCTAAACTTCAGGTTTCTTATTCATATAAGGATAGTTAAGGTGTAAATAACATACATAATTGCCCTGATATACTATTAAATTTCCAATCAATCTTAATGTTTTTCTAACTGAATTCATTTGGAATCATTAGTCCCATCTTTTGAAGAATTAAAGTATTAGTCTAGGCCTTATGGACCATAACTTAGGTTAGTTGTTACTAAATAGTAATTTCTTCAAAAATCACAGATATTGATGGTAATTCTTGCCAAAACTGGTCTCTCATTATCAGGAATCTTGCTAAGTGCTGTACATATATTATACAATATTCACAATAATGCTATGGAGTTGATTTTTCTATTATTTTATATTTAAAGAAAACTGAGTGTTAGGAAGTTTAAATAACTTGCCCAAGGTCACAAGGTAGTAAGCAGTACTGCCAGATTTGGATCCAAGTGTTCTGTCTCCTGACTCAGTAATCTTAATCACTTCATTAGAGTACCTTTCTAGTCAAGAGGTAGATTTAAAAATAACAGTAACAACAACAGAAAGAATAGATTCTTCATCAAATGGCACTTGGGATTTAGCGCCCACATGAAAAAAAATGAAATTGGACCCCTACATCACAGTGTATATAAAAATTAACTAGGGGCGCCTGGGTGGCCCAGTTGGTTAGGGTCCAACTCTTAATTTTGGCTCAGGTCATGATCTCGGGGTCATGAGATCGAGCCCGCATCAGGCTCCATGTTCAGAGTAGGAGTCAGCTTGAGATTCTCGCCCTCTCCTTCTGCCCCTCCCGCCGCTTGCATGCCCATGCGCTCTAAAGAAACATATAAAATCTTTTTTTTTAAATTGACTAAAAAAAGATTAATGACCCAAATATACAAACTGAAATCATACAATTCTTAGAAGAATACATAGGAGTAAATTCGCATGATCTGGGATTTGGCAACAGATTCTTAGATATGACTCTAAAAGCACGAGCAACAAAAGAAAAAGTAGACAAACTGGACTTCGTGAAACTTAAAGGCTATGCGCCAAAGGACATTATCAAGTGGAAAGATATTCCACAAAAAGGGAGAAAAAATATACAAACTATATATATGTTAAGAGTCTAGTATGTAGAATATACAAAAAGCTCTTAAAACTCAAAAACAAGACAATCTAATTAAAAATGGTTGAAGGACCTGAACACTTATCCAAAGAAGATACAGAAATGGCCAATAAACACAAAAAGAAGAGGCTCAACATCATTAGTCATAAGGAAAATGAGAGATACTTCACACCCACCAGAATGGCTATAATCAAAAACAAAAATGGAAAATAACAAGTATTAATAAGGATGTGAAGACTGGTACCCTTTGTACTGCTGACAGGAATGTAAATTGTTTCAGAAGCTGTGGATAACAATTTGGTGGTTCCTCAAAAAGATAAACATAAAATTACCATATGACACAGCAATTCTACTTCTAGGTATAAGATAACTGGAGTATAAAAAGAAATGAAGTACCAATACATACTACAACATGAATAAACCTCAAACATATTATACTAAGTGAAAGAAGCCAGATATTAATGGTCACATTTTATGATTATGTTCATATGAAATATCAGAATAGATAAATCCATAAAGATAGAAAGCAGACTGGTAGTTGCCAGGGGTTGGTGAGAGAGGAGAATGCTGAGTCGCTGTTTCACTTGTACAGGATTTTATTGTGAGATGATGATAATGTTTTGGAACTAGAGGTGGTGGTTATACACCATTGTGAGAGTACTAAATGCCACTGAACTGTTGTTCACTTTAAAATGGTTAATGTTATGCGAATTTCACCTCAAATAAAACAACAGAGCCTACACCCATTATCCTTGTACTGATGGAACATCACAACTTATGTTCTACACATTCCTGTGTGTAACATATAACTTTACTCAGAATAAAGATAACTAATTATATTGAGGAACAGACAGCATACTAAGAAGTTTACAACAACCACAAACCTAAGTACTATTATCTCACTTATTTCAGGGAATTTGACATTCAGTGAGGTAATCTGCCCAAGGAAGAAAGAGTGCTAGGATTCATATATAGGCAGTCTGATTCCAGGGCCTCTGATTTTAACTACCATATTATGCTATGAAGCCTTTCAGACAAATAAGAAATAAAGGTATCAGAGACATAATCCTTATCAATATAGATCCTTATCAGTAAAAATATACAAGATTTAAAACAGAATGAAAAACATTTCAAGTTACTATATAAAATATCACTAATCAACTACAATGACTTTCTGAATAAAAGTTAAGATGCCAGAGATTCTCTTTACAAGACATCTATTTCCCCTCTCTTGCATACTGTGTTTCTCAATGAAGTTATATTGGTGGACAGCTCATGTCTATTTGCTAGAACAACCCGTAGAATTCAGGAAAGTGCTTTACTCAGGAATAGCCTAGGATTTTCCTAGGCTTGTATTTTCTAGGAATGTATTCTATAGGTTCCTTAAATATAGAAATAGGAAACCATATCATATATATGAGAGAAGGGGGGGGGCTCGACCCTAGAACACTGGAATCATGACCTGAGCCAAAATCAAGAGTCAGATACTTAACTGACCAAGCCACCCAAGCATCCTTTATTTCCCAAATTTATTAAGCCAAGGGTCCCTTTTAAGAAATCTCTATTAATATTTTTTAGATGCTAATGTTCCATGGAGCACTGGTTGGCATTCTATTGTCACAATTTATTACTTTCCTAGGGCTGCTATAACAAATACCATAGACTGGGTAGTTTAAACAATAGAAACTAATTTTCTCACAGATCTGGAACCTGAAAGTCCAAGATCAAGGTGTTGGCAGGTTTGATTTTTCCTGAAGCCTCTCTCCTTAGCCTGCAGATGGCTGCCTTCTTGCTGTGTCCTCATACGGTCTTTTCTCTTAGTGTGCCCATCCCTGGTGCCTCTACCTCTTCTTATAAGGTCACCCTCCTATTGGATTAGGGCTATGCCCTCATAACCTCATTTAACCTCAATTACCCTTTACGTACCCTATCTCCAAATATAGTCACATTAGAGGTGAGGACTTTAACACATGAATTTTATGGGCATACAATTCAGTCCACAGTGCACAGTATCTTTCCTCTGACATCTGTAGACACTAAACAGCAAAGCTCTCATTTCCCTAGATTTAAAAGCAATCATCAGCCTTTTCATCCTCAACACTCCCAATTTTCTTCTTTTGAACTTAGCATGCTATCCTGCCAAAGCCAATGAATTGGTATAAAAACACTGACCACTTACCCTACTGTTTCAACAGAAAATATGTTCTATATTTAAAACTATGAAATTACAAATGAAATTTAGACTATAACATCTTTGTGTACTGACAACTTTCTAAACTCAACTAATATGAAATGCAATGGTAACAATGAGATAATGATGAGGGTCTTCTAAAGCCTTAAGAGTACAGAAGTGAAAAAGAAGCCACCATACTGACAAGTTAAATTGTGGTCAGATAACTGATACAGATGCAAAGCAATTGCTGAAAGCCTTGACTGCTAAGATCTAGAATTCTATCAATATATACTTATTCATTATTAGAATGGTATAATATATAATAAAAAGTATATGTTTGATCCTTGTCTTTAGTTCGTGGCACAGAGCTCCTAAAACCCTTGGAATTTCCTTAGTGGTAGGAATATCTTTTAACTCAAGAAGGCGGACCCCTAGATACTGTTTCTGGAGGGCGCTGGTTACCAGAAAGACAAAATGCTTGAATAGAGGGTAGGATGTTCAGCCCCAACCCCCTGACCTCAGGAGAAGGGAGTGGAACCGAAGACTGATAAAAACTCCTGAATAAAGAAGAGATTAGAACTTCGGGGACGGTGAACACACTGATGTGCTGGGAGGGCAGCGTGCCTGAAAAGCGCATGAAAGCTCTGGGCCACTTACAGCCCCCACAACTTTGCTTCCATTTGGCTATTCCTGAGTAAAGCACTTTCCTGAATTCTACGGGTTGTTCTAGCAAATTATCAAACTGTGGAAGAAGTTATGGGGACTCTAGAATTCACAGCTGGTTAGTCAGAAGTACTGGTGGCCAACTGGGACTTGTGACTGGCATCTAGGTGAGGACAGTCTTGTAGGACTGAGCCCTGCGTCTGTGCTAACTCCACGTAGTGTTAGGACTGATTGACGTTTTGGACACAGCAGTTGATGTCAGAGAATCAGAGAGCAGAAAATAGATATAGCCATCTCTGTTGGGAAAACACATATTATGACATGAAATTTTACCAAAACATGTACCTTAATCAAAATAATTTTATTTCCCTTTTCTTAATGTTACGTAACTGTGTACCATAACTACCACTGTATATTAGAGAAAGAAAAATAAAGAAAACTAACTACTGCATATTCCATAGCCCTATAGTTAACAGACCTATTAATATTTAAACAGTTCTAAGCT